TTATCCTTGGACTAGCAGTGATTTTTAAATTTCAAATATTTGATATTTTATATTTACATATATATAACAGGACACCCAGGACTGCAACCCAATTCCAAACCCAAAATTAAGTTTTATATACCCTCTTACCCATGCAACCTGAAGGTAATTTTATATAGTATATTTCATGAAGGCGTTTGGACAGGGACTCATCACATGAAGTCACACTTGAAAGCTTTCAATGTGTTTTGTCAAAAAGTTTTTGATTTTGGAGCACCTGGGATTTCAAACATAAGGTACACCCAAAACTGTAGTCCATTTTCATACCTTACCTAATGTATGTTGGAAACGGCCACCTGAAAGAGAGAGTGGATGTTATCTCACGTACAATGGAAAAGGCTTCCCTGGTCAATGGCGGCAACAGGGCAACTGCAATGCTTAGAAATCAAGTCCAGAGCCTTGGCCACAGACAATAATCACCCTGCTCTAGCAATGCGGACAAAGGATCCCAGGGTCTCTGAATATAGTGGATGTGATTATCTAGAGTAACAGAAAGTAAAGATGAATATTCATTTTCCCCATAAAACAGCAACATCAACCATAGAGCCTCAAACTACAATTATGTAGAAAGAGATAGGTGGCTAGCTAAAAGCGGATGTGGCTACCAGGGCTGGAAAGAGCATGACTGGCTATTTTCATTCTGAAATCCATCAAATTCTTTGGCTTCTTAAAGAACGTAAGTGCATGACTTGGACTGACATTTTGAAACAGTTTAATATTTATTAAGAAACAGCAAAAAGGAATGAGAATCAAGTTTCTTAGGTGGGAGAAGCACGGAGCTGTCAATAGTTAAATGACAGTTACCTTCTTGTACTAGAAAGACTTCTTTTCTCTGCCAAACTTGCAGAGGCAAGGACCCAGGTCCACAGACTGTTAAGCAAGGGACAGTGATCCACATCCAGAAAGCCAATCTGAGCAGCCTATGGGTACCATCCCTCCTCCAAACCAGAGCAGGCAAAGGACTTCATGAATCAGACTGAAAAGGGACATCAGAGGACCTACATTTCCCCTAACCAGTAGAGACCAGCATTTCATCTGGGACACAACAAAACAAAGCAGAATATAAATGAGGCCATACAGAGTAGAGAGGGGGAAGCCACCCCTTCCCTCCTCTATTCTTAGGAAGAATGTAAGAGGTTTTAGGCATACTGAAGACTTCAGCAGGCAAGAAACAGACTTTTCCAGGTAGGGTACAAGGAACTGAAGTGGCAAGAGGTATGATGTGTTTTGGAAATGGGATACAGCCTAACCCTCATCAAAATGCATGCGTGCTTCGTGATATTGCTGCTCTGCTCCATTCTGGGAGTGGGGATGAAAAGGGCAGCTGCTGGGACGGGACTTAGAGCAGTGATGACTCCATACAGAAGGACAGACCGGAGCTGGGCAGTGGTGGAGCACACCCTTAATCCCAGAACTCGGGAGGCAGAGGCAGGTAGATCTCAGTGAGTTTGAGCCAGCTTGGTCTACAGCACGAGTTCTAGGATAGCCAGGGCTACATACAGAGAAATCCTGTCTCAAAAAAAAAAAAAGAAGAAGAAGAAGCATCAGTAACAGCAGAAGAAAAACAACAACAACAGATAGAGTTGTGCCTCAAGTTAGCATGTAAGAACACATTCTCTACCAGGCATGGCCAACCTGTGTGCTACAGGCTGTATGCATCTCAGGTCCAATATTTTAGGTGACAAGCCATGTGGTAATGTCAAATGCTAGACATCCATATCTCCACATTTAAATCAGCCAATTTTATTTGACATTGGATCTTCAATCGCAGACACTGGCATTATCTCACTGGAAAGAGCTCATGTCCCATCCCTGGTCACTATGTAGCTTTGAGTCTTAAACTTTACAGGTTCTGGCCTTGTGCCCTATCAGTTCTCTCTCCGGTTCACAAGACATGAAACAATTATGAACAGTGATTCTCAATTCCCCTATTTTCATCCTGGCATGTTCATGCAAGGCCAGCTTCTTCCTGCAATGCCTCCCTATTCTAATCCAAAAAAAAAAGAAGTGCACCAAGTTTGAGCCACATAATCCAAATTCCTGGTCTTAATAAAAATATATGTATCTTACTCAAGGCTTTCTATCTATCTGGGAAAATTCTAGTACCTGGTGGATTACAGGTGAACACTGCTCCTCCTGCATTTCACATAAATATTTATATAAAACAGTTATGATTTATGCTGTAAATCACCAGCCTTCAGAAATAAGTGAGCACATAAGCTCTCTGTGGCTTTCCCAAGCATGCAGAAGTGTCACTTACAAAATACATGTTGTAAGCAACACATGGAAGAGAAACTGAAAATCAACACATCTTAACTTTCATATTCTTTTAATCCCATGCATAAAAAAATGCCAAGCAGTAAGGATAGAAAAGCCACTGATGAATCATGCCTTCCCTCAGAGTTCAAAATCTCATTAGGACAAAATAACAGAGAAAGGCTTGTCCAGGGCTGGGGTTGCACCCAAGGCCCCTGCAGCACCATGCCCAAGGTAGCTAGTAAATGTTAGCTGGTGACTAGAAGGAGAGAGAGATGAATAGCCTTTTTCTGGGGTGGTTATGAGAATGAATTCCCCTGCATGGGCAGGTGAAGCAAGAGGCAGGAATGCTTTCTACAGGGTGGGTGAAGATGCGTCTGAAGGTAGTGATTCTATAGAGACTGTAAATACTCTGGGGGAAAAACAAAACAAAACAAAACAAAACAAAGACCAGCCTACTAGAGTCATGTCTTCATCTCAATGTTGTTTATCAGATAAACTGCATCAAATGTTTTTTTGTTTATTTGTTTGCTTGCTTAAGATGAGATTAAGCACTTCTTAAGGTGACGCCACACTATTCAGAATGACAGAAATCCCACTTAGGTTATTACTCATAGACATTTTCACTTACTATTTAAAACCACTTAAACCAAGAGGATATTTCCATGCCTGAAAGCACTGAAATCCAGATCTCAAGGATCTGCAAGTCCACATGGCCTTAGGATACACAACAGTCAGAAGGGACAGATGACCAGGTGTTTATGGAGAGCATAAAAAGTGGTATGGACACATGATGCAAAACTATCCAGCCTGAAAAAGAAATGTGACTTTCCTACATGATGCAGCTTGCTGAACAGAACTCATATATACTAAATAAGCCAGCCATGCGAGAGGTATGGGATTCCACAAGAGCCCAGCGCCCAGTGAAGTCAAATCCATGCAGACAGAAAGCAGAGTGGCAGCTTCCAGAAAATAATAAACAGTTAAGCCACTGTTTTGCATGATGAACAGATATCTGAAAATGGAGGTGGCAATGGTTTCACGACTGTCAAAGTAATGTCACTGAAGCCTTAGAAACGGTCAAGAGACTGAGCATGGCGGCTGACGCCTGGGATCCCAGGACTTTGGAGGCTGAGGCAGAAGGATCAGGCATCAGCCTCAGCTTAAAGAGACCCTAACCTCTAATTAATTAATTAGCAAACATTCAAGGTCCAGGTGCGAGGCACACGCCTCTAACTTCACCATCCAGGAGTACCAAGGCACAAGGACTGCAAGCTCTGAGCTTGCTGAGGTCACAGAGGACGCTCAAGGCAAGCCTGAAGTTCCTAACACGACCATTTCAAAAACAAACAAACAAACAAAATGTCAGGATGGAATGTTTTCTGTGCATTTTTACAATTCAAAGAAAAAAAATGCTGTCTTAAAATTTTTTTTTATAATAACTGGTAGGCGAGCAGTGGGCGGTGAGGAAGGATGTGTGCAGCTCACAGAAGTCACAGGAAAACAGATTACATGGCAGAGGGGAAGTGAAGACTGAACACGGGAACCATTTTTTTCAATGCATCTGCAGAAGGAGTTAGAGGAGCAGCTTGAGAGTTGCTTAGGAGATAAGGAAGAGTTTGAGGAACTTTTACTTCTCTAAGACAGAGGGCAGGAGACAAAATGGTGAAATGAAAAACTGAGATATTTAAGAAAGAACAGAGGAAGTGAGGCAGGTCCGAGGCTGGAAGCTTTCACATGAGACCAAAGAACATGGGGGAACCTGAATGCACTGATCCTGAGCGATGGGGTGTGATTGTGCTAACCCAGAGCACAACTAAAGAGTGAAAAACCATGGGAACAATTGGCTAAATATTCAGAAACCAGGGCCAGGTAACAAACCAAGATGGAAACAGGGATGTCCAAAATCAGAATGGAGTTGTACTGACCAACTGGAGAAAAAGCAGAAGTCCCTTCTAAGGGCTGGTGCTGACGAGGCACAATCAGCATTCCCTGCACCCCTAGGACTGAGCATACCCCAGAGAGACTGGGACCCTCTTAACCCCTCTCTGACCGTCTATCGCTACATTGCCAGCAAGGTCAAAGGTCCTGTGGACACACCCACATGTACAGCCTACACGTACACGTACTCACCTGTACGGCTCTACAGTAGAAGCGCACAGGTGTGCTTTACTCTCAGATTAATTTTCAGTTTTCCGTGGGAAAAAAAAGAAAAGGAAAAACTTTCGAGAAGCTAGCTAAAATCAGGAGCCTCGGGAATGCTGTCGCTATTATTACTGCACCCTCACAGAAAAGGTCAAACTAGACATGGGAACAGTCATCCCCCTGCCGCCTGGGTTCCTCTCCCTCACCACACACCCTCTCCCACTGTTCACCCTTGGTCGGGCCTGAACATCCGTAACCATATGAAAGTCTGCCTCAGATCCAACTTACACAAGCACGGATTAGAGTTGTTCTCCTAGGGGTAGTGGAAGTTTGCACTGCTTGATGCTGGAGCATTTGGCGAGAGGTCAGCATTTCAGAGAGTACTTGAAAGGTTTTGCTTTGAGAGCTAATGCAGCATTTCCCACCTGCCAACATAAGCAGACCGGGCAAAAATAAATAAAAATAAAAAAAAAAAAAAGCAAAGTGCATTCCCTGCGGTACCAGTCAGATGCTGCCCTCTGTTGCTGATCCAGTCTCACCTACAAGGACGGGAGAGACTGGAGGAGTTGGTGAGGAGGAAAACTCCATCCAGTTCAGGACCCAGTAAAAGGCTAAGGAAACAGCAGGGCGCTGCTGCAGGACAGCAGTGGGCTTTGGCAGAGGAGGGGTTAAAATGAGTTATCTGACACTGTAAAGTGGACAAGCACAGCTGGCTGATGACGCAATCCTCAGAGCAAAAGGCAAGCCAATATCTAAAATGCTCAAGACAGAAAACAAACACGGAGCGCGAAGGCCACAGCTCCACCAAAACTGAAGCCAGACTGGATGGAGATGCTCCATGGGAGGAAGTCATAGTCGCCTCTCCGAAACGCTAATGCCTAGGCTTCTGATGAGGACTTCATGGTGAGTCACATTTTCATTTCAAAAGAAAGAAACGGGAATTACATTGGCTTCATAGTGCTTGTGTCTTAGGGCTTAAACTTTCATTTCCTTGATTCTTAAGTTCTGTTTTTTTTTTTGTTGTTGTTGTTGTTTTCTTCCGAGATTTAACAAACATGTAAAGAGTAGTTTTAGTTTTAATTTGCGGGGGGGGGGGGGGGGGGGGGCAAGGATGAAGATCTACTTATAAATTCCGATCTATGATTTATCTTTCTATGAATCATAAAGTAACTTTCATGAAGCCTTGACTAACAGCTTTCTAACATAAAACATGCTTATACTGTACTCTAGTTTATTGGTCAGCTTTCTAAGGATTGTTAGTTTAATAACTCCCATTTTATGGAAAAATTGCAAACTTGAAACTGAAGGGAGAGATTTTAATTAATCAACCATACCATGTCCTCATGCTGGGAAAAAAATCAATGTAGTTAATTCAGTATTTACTGTATACTGACAGTTTTAAAGTATTAGCACTAACAACAGGAAATTGTCACGAGGGGGGGTAATAAAAATAGCCAGATACCTGCAATATGATCACTTTTTCTAGTAAAGGGGGAGCTTTCTCCACCTTTAGCTGCCGTCATGTCTACAAAGGCAAAGAGCCACCAGGGCACGCCATGATTTCAGATGACAGAAGGGGTCTCTAGGAACGCTTCCATGCACCGAGCTCAAAGGTTATAGCCCGCCACCTTTAAGACTTCACACACAAGCAGTCGGGTCACCGGGTGTTCCCAACAGCTGGGTGACACCGGGAAAATCTCTTCACGTCATTATTTTACCAATCTGAAAACGAGCTCAGCAAGTTTCAGGGACGAGACGATTTGTCTGATAAAGGGCAAGGATACTACTCGGAGGAAACAACCGCCTGGCTTCAAATCTATTTCCTTGTCTCTAGCAAACAGTGATCGGGTCCAATAAAATGCATGAGCACACGAGAAGTGCAAGACTGTGCAGAGCGAGTTAGTTCTTTAGCTGCATATTTACATAACAAGGGCAGTAATCGCATTATATAAAATAGTCAATATTATTGGGGACTCAAGAGGAAGCAAGCTTTGCAGAGAAACAGCTAAATTTTGATCTACCGAGACTTTGAATGACATTATGTGCTCGGGATTTAACTTTTCTAACCGGTTTCACCTCTGTCCCAACACCTATTTAAACAAACAAAAAAAAACAAAGGTGGGTGTATCTGGCACACAGCGGACAATAAAAACTGAATTCTCTTCCTATCTATTGACTAATAACGCAGTAAGTGAGGGGCAGGATTACCAAGAGAACTACCAACACTGAGCTACCCAACCTGTGTAATAAAACACAGTGAGAGTTACAAAGTCATCTGTGACACTAAGGGGAAACGAAACCTTATCTGCCAACTGACAGACTATGTAAGTCCTACAGAAAACAGAACATTGGGCCAAAGCACACGTAGCGCACAGGTATCAGCCAGGTCCACCCAGTGCAGCCTGCTCTGAGTGACCCTGCAGTCTGCACAATCCGGTCACTCCTTCCTGGAGTTCACGAGTAGGCCTGGATCCATATAGGTGGTGGCTGTACCCAAAAAAGGAAGTGAGAAGAAGCTACAAGGGTTAAATGTGTTGGTTTGCAGGCTCACCCAGCACATGCATATATTGAGTATGTGTATATGTATATATGTGTATATGTATATGTGTGTATGTGTGTATGTGTGTATGTGTATATGTATATATGTGTATATGTATATATGTGTATATGTATATATGTGTATATGTGTATATGTGTATATGTATATATGTGTATATGTATATATGTGTATATGTATATATGTGTATATGTGAAAAAGAATCTGAGATGGAAATGAAAGATGCTACATCTATAGGAGCCAAGACACGAACTAGGGAGCTGTCCGTGTTGTTGAATTACTGTTCTTTTTTTCCTATTTACATTGTTCAGTATACATAGGTTAGAGGCTAAAGTACTAAAATTAACTAGCAAACTAAGCCCAATTTATTTTTTTTAATTTATTTATTTATTTATTTATTAAAGATTTCTGTCTCTTCCCCACCGCCGCCCCCCCCCCCCCCCCCCCCCC